GGCAAGTGTAAAGCACTGTGAAGTGGTATATAAGTCTAAGTGCCATTGCTGTTGCTTTCTCAGGGGCAGATTTAAGGCACAGACACCCACACCCACACTTTTCTGAGAGGCTGTCAGGGGCCAGGGCCACTCGTAGCCCGTCAGCCTCCTTGCCATTTCACACCCATCAAACTTTGGAAGTGCAACATCCAACGGCCACAGTTTTAAAGAGAAACCAACGAGTAAAGGTAAAAATACCTGGGAGATCAGCTCAGCTCCTGGAGATTACTTCCATGGGGAGTGAATTTGGCCTGTGGCCCCCACTCAAGGGTAAATTAAGGCCGCTTTGCAATAGCTTCTAAGCCCAAATACGGGTAGTTCTTGACTTACGACAAGTGAACCCAACATTTTCATTGCTAAGCAAGAGAGTTGCTAAGTGGGTTTTGCCCCATCTTATGACCTTTCTTACGACCAGTTGTTAAGGGAATCACTGCAGTTGTTCAGTAAATTAGGTGGTTGTTAGATGAATTCTGGCTTCCCATTGACTTTGCTCGTCAGAAGGTCGCAAAAGGGGATCACATGACCCCAGGACACCGTGACCGTCATAAATATGAATCCATTGCTGAGCAACCAAATTTGGATCACGTGACCATGGGGGGTGCTGTGAAAAATGGTCATAAGTCACTTTTTTCAGTACCATTGTAACTACGAACAGTCACTAAATGAGCTGTTGTTAAATTGAGGACTATCTGTAAGGTCACAGAAGTCCTGCTAACCTGTTAAAACAAGAAAAAGGACACAAAAATATGTTGGGGAATCCTAAAAAAAATCCCACCAAAGCTTTACAAACATTTTCTGGGCCCAGATCTTGGCTTGCCTCTGGTCTTCTGGAGAGGCCTCTCTGCCTGCTGAATCACACCAAATGCACTGGACTACATCTCCAAGGCTCCCCTGCAGGGCTTCTGTTATGGGAGTTGCAGTCCAGAGTCCAGACATCTGGGTCTCCACTGTCCCAGATATACAGGTTGGGAAAGTCTAACGACAAGATCCAGGTGAACCCAGTGGCTTCACTCAGTGCTTACTGAATGTCGGCGTTCTCCCGAACCCTAAACTAATCAAACTCACTGCGTTTACTTTGCATTCAGAGCCATAACAAACAAAATGACAAACCAAGATCAAAATTAAGTTTCACGTGTTGCAGAACTGCAGTTCTTAAGTCTCTAAACTGCCCCAGCTAAAGAGTCAAGCCACCTTCACCGAGTTTCACCAAATAACAGAGGTGGTAACACTGTGTGGATGTCGCCAAAGGTCTCTGGGAAAAGGTGATAAATTTGAATGCAGCTTTGCTGAGTCTTAAAGGAGGAAGGAAGGAAGGAAGGAAGGAAGGAAGGAAGGAAGGAAGGAAGGGGTGAAAGCAAAGGGGAAAAGAAGAAAACTGCCCTCCAAAATGGCAAACCTGATAGAGATCAACGTGTGGAATTCAAGTGCTCAGAAGGATTGGGTGGGCACCTCATGTGTGGCACTAAGTACAGCAACAGCCTGATTCCCAAGAAACGTTGCCAAACAGCAGGGCAAATTTTGCCATTTCCTTTGCAATATTGTTTGGGCACTGTCCTGTAAACACAGATTGTCTCGACTTGCAACCATTTGTTTAGTGACCGTTCAAAGTTACAATGGCACTGAAAAAAGTGACTTGTGACTATGTTTCACACTTTACAACCGTTGCAGCTTCCCCAGGATCATTCATCAAACTTCAGACACTTGCCTGCAGATTCATATTTACAACGGTCGCAGTGTCCCTGGGTCATGTTTTGTAAACCTTCTGATTAGCAAAGCCAGATTCACGTAACCACCACGTGACTAACTTTAAAACTGCAGCAATTCACTTCATATCCATGGTAAGAAAGGTCATAACATGGGGCAAAAACTCACTTAACAACTTGTCTCACTCAGCAACCGAATGTGGGCTCAGCTGTGGTCGTAACCCGAGGACTACCTGTTCTACGCGCAAGGAACATGTGAAAACCGCTGTCCGAACCTGCCTCTCCACCAGTCTGGAGAAAGGGCTGTGCGAAGCTCCCCCTCCTCTTTAGCCATGGAGCTATGCTGTCTGGCCTACACTACAGGGTAGTTGTGAGGACCAAGCAGGTAGAGAGAAGCGCCGTTCCGTTAATCCTTGTTAGTCGTAAATTAATCCAGTTAGCCGTTAAGTAGAGGACTACCTGCGCCCTGCACTTTGGAGACGCATGGACTGTGCCTTTATCAGCCCTGTCTGCAAATGTGTCTTTGGAACGGCCTCCCACAGGACACAACTCGCTTTGGGTTCCAGGGCTCATGAGGACCCACCCCTGGCAAGGCAGGAAAGAGATCCAGGCCACGTGTGGGTTTGTTCCAACCCGGTCTGCTCCCGTCCCACTCCAGCCCCATGCAAGAATTGCCGCCGTCTTTGTATGGCGGAGAAAGATTATTATTAATCTTTTAAAGCAGGCCTTTGTGCTCGGAAATGGTGGGTTACCAGGGAGTTATTTTTAGGCCTGCGTGTGTCGCTTCGGGGGCTCACAACTGCTAGCAAAGAAGCCGATAACCATCCACGACTCCTGCTCTAAACCCACAGCAGGTTCTGCAAAGCAGCCTCACCTTTGCACGCACATGTACAGAAACACACGCACAACTGATGCTCAACCTGTTTGTCCGTGTTGCACTTTAAATGTTCAGCCTTTTTCCTTCCTTCTTTTTTCTTCCCACCGACCCCCCACCCACCCACCCTCCACCCACCCTCCGAGGCCTGGTTGCAAAAGAGCAGCCTTTGAGCTGCCACATTGCAAAGCAGGACTTCCCCACAACCTCTGTGTGAGTGTGTGTGTGTGTGACAGTTGTTGACAGATTGTGTGGCATCAACATTTATCAACACAGGCAGCTGCTCCATGTCCCCAAAAAAGCCCAAGAGGACGCATGGAAGCCATGTGTCCTACCGAACTGGGGAGCAGAGATGCTCTTCGTTGCCCTTTTTTAAAAAAAAAAAGAAGAAAGAAACCAGCAATCTCGGTTTGTCTGTTTGAAGCCACTTCCCACTGGGGCACGGGGGGGGGGGGGGGGGGGCTCCCTTGAGACACATTCTTCTTCCAGGCGCATGGCAGAGATGCAGTCATTTTATACACCGGTCTCCACGCTGCATTGCACATGGTCTGGACACACACACACACACACACACACACCCTCCCCAGGACACACACCGCCTGGCACATCAGAGCCACACAAATCTTCAACATTCACAATCCGCACAAATAGCCCGGAGAAAGGAGGAGAACCCAACGCCCCCAAATCAGGTCGGCTTCTTCAGCGTTGCACCCTCGGCACAGAAGCACATCTGGGCCTTTGACAGACACACACACACATCAGGAACAACCTGCCAGGTTTGGAGGGAGGAAGGTGGTTAAGAAACCCCCCCCCCCCCGTTTCTCCTTAACAAAAGCCCGGGGAAAAAATATTCCCCGCTTCCTTTCACACACCCACATGGCTAGAAAAACGTGCGGCTGATGCTGAGATTTTGTTTTCGTTTAAAAGGGGAGAAAGCAGAGAGGGAAAAGGGGGATAAAGAGAATGGTCCTTTTTAGCCCATTTTGCACACCAGGACGCGCTCGGTCCAGCTTCGCTTCTATTTTGGGGGGTGCGGGGGGGGTGGGGTTTTTTTGTTTTGTTTTTTGTTTTGCGTTGTCGCCTCTCTTGCATTGGGCTCCAAAGCCGAGGATGCCAGCCAAGACCCTGTCCCCGACGGGTGTGTTCTCACAACCACCCAACCCAGGTCAGGGAAAGGCCAACCGGCAGCAGCAGCGGCTGCCGATCCTGGAAGGCTACGTTAGCCCGACCCGCCTAAGGGAACCGCAGAGGTCGTGGGGAAGCCGAGCCGGGTCATCTCGGGTTCAGGGCCACGGAGAAGGAACCGAGAGAAGCGGCTTCATTGTGGAACCGGGCTGGGTCGGCAAAGCCGCAAAAGCGGAGGTCGCGATCCCGAAATCCTACCGGACGTTGCGCGGGGCAAAGCGAAGAGCCCGCGCCGTCATCCCGAAAGCCGAACTTAGTTTCCTGCTCCGCTCCGGGGAAGGACCGGGTCCGCTGGGGCAGGTCGGCCCTTCTCCTAAAAGCCCCGGTAGGCTGCTCTTTAGCGGGGAGGCGTGCACTCCCCCACCCGGGAGCGCAAGGAGGGGCAGCACTCTGTGCATGCCCAGAGGCTCCCTTCCCCGGTGGGACTCCCTCTCCCTCCCGCTTGCCGCCCTCTCCCCGCGATCCCCTCCTGCGCTTCGAAGCAGCGGGGGGTCCGACCCCTCCATCCCGCCCGTCTCCCCCTCGGGCAATCCGCGCGGCACTCTGTTCACGCCCAGAGGTACCCTCGCCCACCCCCCACCGCCCCTCTCCCTCTTCCCCGCTGGCTCACTCACCGGCTCCGGGGCGGCTCGCCCTGCGCGCCCGGCTGCCCTTTCGCCCGGCTGCAGCGGAGCCCGGGACACGCAGCCTCGGCTCGCCCGCGGAGACAGGAGAGCGGGGGGGAGGAGAGGAGGGGGCGATCCCAGGCGCGTCCCCGCCTCGCCTCGCCTCCCTCGCCCGCCCCCGGCTTGGCCTTGAGTCGCCGCCCGTCGCCCAGCCGGTCGGAGGAGCGGAGAGGAGCGCAGTGCGCAAGGAAAGGGAGGCGGGACCCCCTTAGCGGAGGGAGGGAGGGAGGGAGGGGGAGAGGAGGGGGCGCTGGGGGGGAGAGCGGTACCGTCAGACGCCCCCCCCACACACACTTCCCCGCCTCCTTTCTGCCTCCGGAAAGAGCAAGAGTGCCTCTGGGCGTATGCAGAGCGCTTCCTCTTGTCCGCGCAGGGAGCAGCCGCAGCGATAGAAAAAGGGAGGGGGGCCGCTCCGCGCCCCCAGCAGGCGCCCCCCACGCGGGGAAGGGACCCCACCCAGCAGCAGTTTGGGAAAGTGGGTGTGTTCGAGCCGAGCAACGTTGCTCACCTGGGTTCGTGGACCTCCCTTAAACCCCGGTTAAGGAAAGGTAGGTGCGCACTATAAAACCCAACAACTAGGCTACAAAAGGAGATGCGCGGAGTTTAGCTCAGTGTATAAACACAGAGGATATGTGTTTGTGTGTGTCTGTGTGTGTGAATAAGTGCCCCTCGGAATTATATGATCTCCTGCAGGGCCCGTTGGAATCAAGTCCCTATGTTGTGGTGGCAGAGCATGACCTACTTCACACCGGTGTGCCAAAGCAATGCCATGTCCACCCCACAAACAACCCGGACTTTCGTTTTGCCTAACATGACCTCCTACAAACTTGCCCTTGTTTCTCGCTGCTTCCTCCAAAGTTTAGGGTGTGAGAGTTGGATTCCCACGACCCATGAAAACTTGGGTTGATGAATTAAGCCATTTGCACCAAGGGGTCCTGAAAGGTCCAAAAAGCGCACACACGCTAACACCAGACAAGCATGTGTGAATGTGGCTGCAAGGTTTTGTTTTTTAAAAAACCTGACCTGGTTAGCCATGTTAAATGAAAGCTAGAAACCTCTCTGGGCGTTACTTGGAGATGCTGGAGGAGGAAATGGAGTCACGCCTCTTTCCTTAAAAAGCAAAACAAGGTACCTGTCCTCATGGTTGAAAACATCCAGGTAATGGAGGGATCCTCAACTCCCGCGATATCCTTGTCTGCAGTTGGTGCAAGGGCTTCGCTGTCCCAGGGCAGATGGGTGTGCAACACATTCTCCTTGCCTTCCCTCCGTTGTGGGAGTTTGCGCACCTGGGGTGCGTCTATATTCTTAGGGAATCTGGTTGCCTCCTGTCTCAAATCCTTTTCTTTCTGGGGAAATGTTCTACATATTTGCCAACTGGGGAGGGCTCCATTCGTCATACCTGAATCTCTACCCCGACACAAAAACCCGTAATCTTAATTTCTAATTTTTTTCCTCCCCTCTGCACATCCTCTTCGATGAGTTTCGTGTGTGTGTGTGTGTGTGTGTGTATGAGAGAGAGAGGGGACAATACAATACAATGATGCAATAGAGTAGAATAAAAACTTTTATTGTGTACACTAATCAGCATACATTAAAATGAAATTTCATTGCATTCAGCTCTCAAAATATAATCATTATGCATATAACCACATACACACACACACATATGACACAGAAACATCAGAGAGAAAGAGAGATAGAGAAAGAAAGAAACTCATCAAGGAGGTGCAGAGGGCAGGAAAGAAATTAAGATTAAGGTGGGAGGAGGAAAGATCCAGGTATGATGAATGGAACCGGTGTGGGGGGGGTGTTGTTGCAGCCCCCTCCCCAGTTGGCAAACCGGCACAATGCCCATCCCCGGGGGTCCCATGTGTGCCTTACAATTTGGCATTGCAGGCTGCTCCGGTTGCCATGGCAACTGGCTCAGAGCTGGGAGGGGGCCTAAAAGGCCGGGTCCTAATTCAGCAGCATCTTCCTTCCTGCCAGTCCCAAAACGTCTCCGGCATGACACAGGTGAAGGTGTGTGAGAAACGGTGCCCCTTTGTGCCTTATCTTCTGCATTGGTTCTTCTGGGTCTCCTTCACAAGAGCCAGGTTGGCACCACCTGGATTGGCCTGAGTTTGGGCTCCAAATACAAGGAAGCATCAATGAATCCAAACAACAAACCAAGGCTTATCCCTAGCCGAGATCAGCTGCTTGTGAAAATGCATCTGCCGAATATTTGAGTCTTGCTCAGGTGTGGTACACAACCTTGGCTAAGTTCAGCCCGAACAACCAGCTGAGCCCATAACTCCCCTCCCACAATCACCTTAAATCCCCAAAGACTCCAATTTTAGCTTGTCTTGGTGGCTTAAACCCAGTCACAGTATGCCCCCTTCTGTCAATGGCTGGCATTCCCAGGCTAAATGCAGACTTGCCTCTGAGCATCCACAGAGGGCTTTTTCTACCTGTCGGGCCACGATAGAAGAATGATAGGAGCAGGAAAAGAGTTGGCGCCAAACTCTTTGCCCATCAACAAATCCTTGCACAAATGCTCTTAGTTCCTCCACAACCAGCATCCAGTGCCAAGGCTATTCCCTGGAGTCACCTGAGCATGTGCAGAGTACCTGTTCTTCATTGTCCAAAGCCAAAAAATCAACCTTGCTCAACCAAAGAAGGAAGCACCAGAGTTTGTCTGGGGAGTCTGTTGTTTAGAAGTTTAACTGGTTGCATTAAACGCAAAACAGTTGCAACCTTGTAAAAATGATGCCGCCTACCTGTCAGATTTGTCAGCAGGTGTTATGCAATCCCAGAAAATGGGCTACTCCCCTTATAAAATTGTGCTGTGGGACCCACCCAAATTGTTCTGCTCTGAGTTCATTTCAATCTTTAACCCAAGTTTATTAGTTGCATCCTCTTTGCCTTTCACATTCAAGGCCTACCAAAAAAAAATGACATTCAATTTATTTCCGCTTTAGGGAGCCAAATCAACTCTTTTCTCCGAAATCCTGGGATTTTCTTCTGGGATCTCCATCTGTCCTTCCTTCTCAGCCTCCGAAGATAAGCATTAAAATTGCCTAGGACACATTATTGCCATTTGCAGCCCGAAAGCGTGAAATGTGCTTCCAAAAATCTCTGAGTTTTTTTTTTAAAAAGCAAATAAAAAAAAAATCCTAACCTCAGAGGGATTTTGTGTTAGTTTGTTATAGCCAGAAGAACAAAGTGTTTTGGGGGCAAGAAACTTACAGGAACTTTTAGAAAGGGGTTTAGATACAACCATGATGCAAACCCAGCTGGATCAAATAGCTTTTACGCATTATGCTTGGTTGCGCAGTCAGCCAGATGTTCAGACTGCATTTGGCATTTTTGCCTACCCGCTGAGTCCTTCCCGAGGACCTGGGAGAAGCAGTTGTGGCTGTTGGATGGTGTTAAAAGTCTCATCCCAGGATAGAAGCTTTCCAAGTATAATTGCCATTTGCAATTGCCTGATGGTACATTTGTCTATGTTGATGGTGTTCCAGATGTTTTTGGATTACATCCAAGGTGCCTGTTACTAACGGGACTATCTTTGCTTTCTTTTGCCCCAGTTGTTCTTCTTCCGTTTGCAGGTCTTTGTATTTTGTGATTTTCTCCAGTTCTAAGACCACACCTGGAATACCTGGTCGCCACATTGCAAAAAAAAAAAAAAATGTAAAGACTTTGGAAAGAGGGCAGAGAAGAGCAACGAAGATGATTAGGGAGGATAAAACCTGAAGAACAGTTGCAGGAATTAGGGTATGGCTAACCTAGTGAAAACAAGGGGTGACATGATAGCCGTGTTCCAGTATTTGAGGGGGTCAAATACTTTGTATCTTGCCCCAAAGAAGAGGGGGTCAAATTATTCTCCAAAGCATCAGAAGGCAAGACAAGAAACAATAGATAGAGGCTTATCAAGGAGAGAAGCAACCTAGAACTAAATAAATTTTTCCTAACGGTGAGAACACTAAGTCAGTGGAATGGCTTGCTTTCAGAAGTTGTGGGCCTCAACACTGGAGGCTTTTAAGAAGAGACTGGACAGCCACTTGTCTGGAATGGTATAGACTAGAGTCTCCTGCTTGAGAAGTGGGTTGGACTAGAAGACCTCCAAGGTCCCTTCCAACTCTTCTGTTCATTCTGTTTCTCTTCTGTTGTCCCTAGTACAGGTAGTCCTCAACTTATAACCTAACTGGAAAAATAAAAAGATTTGTTATCTGGATCAATTCCGACAGTCAGCACCCCCTACCCCCACCCCCGTCACGTGAACACACTTCGGACACTCTGCAAAACAGCTGAAGTCACATAAGCATGTTTTACAGTGATTTTACGGTTAAGTTAAAAGAGGTTAAGGGAACTGTGTATGTCTCGTCTAACAACAATAAGGATCAAGGGTGACATGAGAGCGGTCTTCCAATATTTGAGGGGCTGTCACAGAGAAGAGGGGATCAACTTATTTTCCAAAGCACCAGAGGGCAGGACAAGAAACAAGGGATGGAAACTAAGCAAGGAGAGAAGCAACCTGGAATTGGGGATAAATTTCCTGACAGTGAAGACAATTAACCAGTGGAACAGCTGGCCATCATAGGTTGCCAACCCTGGAGGTTTTTAAGAAGAGGCTGGAAGCTGCTTGTCTGGAATGAAATCGGGTCCCTTCCAAGTTTGGTGTTCTGTATAAATTGAGCTGGGGCTGTTTGTGAACCGTGAGGTTGTCTCCTATTGGGTGGGCAAGACGAAGGTGTATAAAGCAAGGATTTGTGCATTGCACCTGATGCGTTAATAGTGGACACCTACAACCAAGTCTCTATCCATCATACCTACCAGCCTATAATGAAATGGCAGCACGTATGGCCATAGCTGGCTGCAGCCCCGACCAATTAAGCTCGTTGAAATCCTGCCAATTACAGATCCCATCACCACTAAAAAAAAGTCAAAAATCCTGGGGAGGACACTGAGGCTGGTGGCACTAATTGGAGAATCCCACTAATTTACCATTTTAAAGTCCTCATGAGCTGCTGCTCTCTTCTCTTTGAGCCTTGGATCTCTTGGGAACAAAAACTCTGGAAATAATCAGAATCAGAGGGTACTTCCGAGCATGTCTAGGGTGCTTCTTCTCTCCCCACCCCTGCCGAAAATTTGAAGTGGGTAGGTGTTTAACAAGATTCAGATATTTTCAATTTCCTTATTCATGAATTTATAACCTGGCCTTTGCTTCCTGGTTGTTTGCAAGGTCAGGTTGGCAAAGCATAGAAAAAAGAAAATAATAATCTTATTATCCTACATTTACTGGATCATGTTGCTGTATGAAGCTTAAGGCTTAGAACTTGTCTTTCCATCTTGTAGAAAAGGGTTTCTCAATTTTGGTCACTTTAAGTTGGGTGGACTTCAACTCCCAGAATTCCCCAGCTGAATTCTGGGAGTTGAAGTTCTCCTGTCTTAAAAGTGTTCAAGGTTGAGAAATGTCCGACTGACAGATGGACAGGCCCAACCTCTACATTCGACTCCTGCCATTTCATGCAAAACCCGGGCAGCTTTTTATCGGCTAAGGAAAATCGTGAGAGCGCTCACGAGGAAGGGGCTATTTTTAGCTTCCTTTTCCCAAATGCAAAAGAACAGCTGTTGTGGCCTGTTTGCTCGAGGACGGGGGGGTTAATGAGAGAGAGATTATCCACTCCCTGCCAAATATTTTATTTTCCTTTTCAAGGGCCCAGTTTGACCCACTTCGCCAGCTCTGTTGACTTGGAAAGGACCAGGGGCGCCTCAAATCCACATTGTCATTTGGCACTGTCCAGATGTGTCTGACTCCAAATCTCAGCATTCCCCAATCAGGGCCAGTACACTTAAGACTTCAAAAAGGTGCTTTAAAACTGAAGTTTATTTATCTAGCCTTTCTCAGCAACAGAAAATGGTAGCAAACAAAACAGGGCAAGCAATTAGATATACTGTATATTTGGTATTTATTTCCTACTTTGCAAACTCTTCCATCTTGGAAGAGATTTCTAAAGCACCCGAAGGCCAGACGAGGAATATTGGATGGAAACTGAAGAAGGAGAAATTCAACCTGGAAATAAAGAGAAACTTTCTGACAGGGAGAACAATCAACCCATGGAACAGAAGTTGCCCTCGGAAGTTGTGGGAGTGCCATCACTTGAGATTTTCAAGAAGAGACTGGACTGCCATTTGTCAGAAATGGTGTAGGGTCTTCCACCTGGGCAGCGGGTTGGACTAGATGACCCACAAGGTCCCTTCCAACTCTGATTATCTGTTATCTTCTTGATTTTTAGGAGTGCAGTTTTAGAGAGAGAAAAAATGGTCCCAGGATGAATTATTTTCCTTTGCTTTTTTTTGCAGAAAAAAACCTGCTGTTGAGAGCTGCAGATTTCCAAATTAGAAGACACTTAGCAATCATATGAGGTCTATGAAATGAGTCTCTTCTGATCCGTTACTCTTGAGTCAAGAGTAGGTGATTTTTTTAAAAAAAAATATTTTCATTAATAATTAAGAACCATATTTTATTCATTATTTCACTATTATTATTATTAGATGATAGACAGTTATATAGAAGATGGATAGATAATAGAGAATAGATACGTATGATAGAGATGATAGATACAAAGATGATACATAAATGATAGATAATAGAGATGATATAGATAATAGATTAGGTAGGTAGGTAGGTAGGTAGATATGGATGGAAGGAAGGAAGGAAAGGAAGGATATAGGTGTAGCTATATAAATATATTGCTTTCGTTTTGCAAAAGTTATTTTGAACTCAAAGACATGGTTCCATGGCACATTCGAGTATAATATCCTGCTAATTAAGCTATGTATTATAAATGACTATTCAATGCACTTGAGCAGAATAGTAAAATATTTATTTATTAAATTTATAAGCCTCCCATCTCACCTAGAGGTGACTCTAACTGGCTTAGATCTAATTAAAAGCAAGATAAAATGTAAAAAATATTACAAGTATGTTGGTATTAGTATTTATATTAGTATTAGTGTTATATTTATAATAGAAACATTAGAATATAATACTCCATTAACATGAAGGCATCAAGCAAGTTTTTGTTTTTTGTTTTGCATTGGGAGGTTTTTCCTCCCCAACTTTCTTTTCAGCAAACTCATCTGTTCACTTCTGACTTGTGTGAATCTTGACAAAAAAATCCTGACCAAGACGTCGCGCACCCGTGCGTAAGCACCATATATTTCACCCATCATAAAGCCCCTGCTCTCCCGCGACAGACAGCAGGCTAATAAAACCCCACCGTTCAGTTATTCATGGACACCGCCACCCCATCCAGGGCTAACTTGGGAATTTGCTCGATTGACTTCGCCTGGCTTCTCGAGGCTGGCGGGCTCCGTTCCACTTGAAAAACCTGCTGAGTTTTTAATAAAACTCTCGCAGCTGGAATGCAATCTCCAGTTCCTAATTAAAAGAGCAAACCGACTTTCCGAGAAGGGGCTCTCTCGTGGACGCAGCTCAAGAGCGAGAAATTTTGCTGGAGGGTGCTTAAAAAAAAAAGCACCCAGTTTTTGCTGGAAATGTTATTTTGCGTTCCTCTTTGGGAATTGGTTGCAGGTAGTTCTCGACTTATGACCATAATTGAGCCCAATTTTTTTTGAGGGTTGTTTAGTGAGCTTTGCCCCATTTTACAACCTCCCTTGCCACAGTTGTTAAGTGAATTGCCACGATTACTTAGTAACATGCTCTACAGAGAATCATTAAAAAAGCCCAGAATATCACTGGGCTCCAGCTACCAGCCCTGGACAACATCTTCGCATATTACTGTTTAAGGAAATTGCACAACATTCTCAGAGATTCTTCCCATCCTGCTCACAATCTTTGTGAACTGTGGCCTTCTGGCAGAAGATTCAGAACAATTAAAACTCGGACCAGACGTTTTCTGAACAGTTTTTATCCCAGAGCTATAATTGCACTTAACTTAAGGACCACCATCATCTTACTTGGTCTGTTGTGTGGATGCTTGTGTGTTTTTAGGGGTCAGGAAATTTTGGCGGGTGGGGAGGTGGGTGTTGGGGATTGTCGTGTGTGCGTGTGTGTTGGGTCTGGTCTTTGGGTGTTATGTGAATTTTGTTGTATGTGTATACTGTGTATATTCGTACAATGACAATAAAGAATTCAATTTATTTAAATGAATCTGGCTTCCCAATTGACTTTGCTGGTAAGATGGTTGCAAAAGGGGAATCATGTGACCCCGGGATATTGCAACCGTCAAAAATACATGCCAGTTGCCAAGCGTCCAAACTTTGACCACATGACCATGGGGATGCTGCAATGGTTGTGTGAAAAAGGGTCATAAGTCATTTTTCAGTGCCCTAGTAACTGATCATTAAATGAAAGATTGCACATTGAGATGTCTCTCCCACCATCTCCTCCAAAACACCTGGAAGGCCTCGTTATCCCCTCCTTGGAGACCCCATACCACTGTAGACCAGGCCTTTGAGTAGATTCTCCTCCAGCATTGCACAGCTGAACAGAACAGAACAGGTTAAAAGAACTGGAAGGGACCTTGGAGGTCATCTGAGGACCCAGATTGTTGGGGGCAAGAGGCTGACTCTCTAAACCACTTAGAGAGGGCTGAAAAAGCACTGGGAAGTGGGATATAAGTGCTGTTGCAATTGTCCTTC